TTCAGCTGTGAGCGCTGCGATGTACACCACGCAAACAAGGCGGAAAATAAGGCCTGTTTTATCTTGAAGAGCACAATCTCTACGAGAGCATGTTCGGGTAGACTTTAAACGAAAGGTTAGTGATTTAATCAGTATAGATTACATCTGCATTATCTAACCTGTGAAGCTTTTGGCTGGATGAGCCTGCTCCTGCACGTATCTTATGGGTTGTAAGATGGGTCTCACTTAAGTGCAGGCCTTTAGCCACGCCTCTGCATTGCTTCAAATGGTGCAGGTTCAAGTAAACGTAGGGGTGGGGGGGGGGGGGGGGGGGGGGGGGGGGGGGGGTCTTGTGAGCTCTTTGTGATATCAGTATAAATGTTTGGGAGGATTTTTTGATTTAAGGTTTCTTACAGGGCTCAAACTAAGATTAAGATATTTTCTGTTCTTGATGAAACAAGACTATAGGTCAACACCAGGAAATGTCAGCTCTGTAATGCTAAGTACAATACTTTATTCCACAAAAATGCCTCTATTAACCTGCTCATCACCACTTCTCTTCTATAGCCTGCTGCTGTTTCGGCTATTTTTGAACGTCTTCTTTTTACTTTTAAGCACTAAAGATGGACTATGTGAATGTATTCTGACTTGAGTCCCTCGGTCTCTTAATTTTTTGCATTTTCTTTCTCACTGGCTCCAGCAGCATTGGTGTGCTCAGTTGGCCATTTCAGCTTCAAACTCCTTCTCTTTGTGCACTACCTTTCTCTCCTGCTCTGTCCCTGTGCTACAGCTCTGACCACTGCTGTGTGACTCGTATGACATCAGTGATTCTGCTCACTTTTTCCTCCTCTACTTTGATTGTCTGCGATTTATCTCTCTGCCTTGTGTCTCATGCGTTCTCACCGCACACGCCGAGGACGGGGCGCCTGACTTCTTGATGTTTACTCAAATGTGTTTCGTCAGTGGTGCCGTGCTAGATGAACAGAAATTAATCACATGCTGTATGTATTCATCAGGTTATGACTTCCTCTTTTCTTGCATCTCCTTCTGTTTTTCTCTGTCTTTGCTACAACACATTGCTTTATGAAAAGCTTTTGTGAATGCCTTTTTCCCCCAGGCTGCCCCTTTTTGGTTTTAAAATCAAACAACTATGGTGATTTGTCAACTTCAGGTGGAAAACTAGACATTAATCTGGTCCTGTTTTGTTTCAAACTCCCATTCAGTGCAGCTGTAAAACCAACGCTCTTCCTCAAATCAAGCCAACGGATCAAAGCAGGAGCGCCTGTTGCGAATGGTTGGTTGGTGCCAAAGGCTGTCCATAGTTGTATTGCTCTGACCTGTCTCTTTCTTTGGCCACAGTGATCTAGACAGAGACTTTTGGAATAACAATGACAGCAGCACAGTGCAGCAGAGGTGGAGCTCCTATCCGCCCAAGGAGTTCGTACTAAACATTTCTCCCTATGCCCCATATGGAGATCCTCGCCTCACACTCAAGTGAGTCTTGGTCCAAGGTTGGTAAGAGACTTCCCCCTGAGCAGGGCTGTAACGAGGGAGGGGCAGTGCCACTCTCCCCTTTCCCTTCCCGATTTCCTTTCCTTTCGTCCCTTGCTTGCATTCCTCTCCTCTCCCCTCCTCACACCATCCTCTTTTCTAGTTGAGCAGTCACCACCACTAGCCACTCATCAAATTGAACCATTAGATGTGGATGTTACATGGCCGAACAGCTTATTAAATCCACCTAGTTTCATAATGTTGATTATTTTCATTTTCCTGAGGACATTTCCTCACGAGTAACCAGTGGTATTTAGCCAAAGGCCCTTTGGAAAAAGCCCATTCTGTAAATGTCACAGTTTTGCAATATTCACAAAGTGTACATTTCTAGACTTATTAATGTTGTATAATGCGATTTCCATCAACAATAGTAATAACGACAACAATAACAACACAGCCAATATTAGAACACTGGAGGTCACGAATGGGTACTAATGATTAGTCATAATCTGCTTGGAAAATGTGAGTGCAGGAAATGTCATACGCATATTACAGCATCACTGCGACAGCCATTCGACTATTACTGCAGCGTCAAAACAGCACAGCCCTGTATCCTCTGCGGGCTAATTTCTGCCGCAACTTCTCACATCCCGTCACCTTCTAATGAACAGAGAGGCGCGTGCTCAGATGCCCCCCCACTCCCTACAGCCCTGCCGGTCCCACTAACTCCTGACCTCTCACCTCTCGCCTCTTTCCCATGGGGCTCTAACCATGGAGACGGACAACCCTCGTAACTTTCCTCTCAAAAAGACATACTTTAACCCACCGTATCTGTAATCTGTGTATCTCCCCGCCCTTTTGCTTGTGTGAACTGAAATTGTTGTTGTTGTTGTTGTTGTTATTGTGGAGGGTTGACCGTTGAACCAGGTTGCAGGGTGGTGCCAGTGTTCACCTGTGGTTTACATTCATATGTGGCTTCTCTCTGATCCCCATCAACCTAATATCTAAGGTGTACTGCACTAACATTGTAGCACTTCAACTGTGTCTACTGTCTATCATATGGGGAGATAGGGTAACAGTGTTTTTACTTGATGCAATAAGTCATTTTTTCACTCACTAGGCACTTGAATCCAATATAGCAGTAGCAAGGTCATACCTATCTCCCTCCGGGCACAGAAAAAGCTCTACGCTTAGACATCCTGCTACCAGGCATCTGTCTGATAAACTGTCTAATAACTGGTCATCTTTAATAGACCTAGCTGTTGAGGACTGTGTGTCAAATGGCCTGCAGAAAGGAGGCAGCTATGTGCTCATGGACGCGGTGGATATATGGATTGCTGTCTGAAAACTCTGCCTGAAGATGATGGCTGCTGATCTCAGGAAACCAGCTTTAGACCCTACTGCTCGTGTTTGAGAAGTTATTTATTTATTTTTTTAAACCCTCAAGGTTGTCAGTTATTGTCCATGAAGCTGTTTTTCAGCAGGCCCTGTCTTTCCAGCAGTGGAAAATAGATGAACTTTTCAGTGCAGTAATGGTAAAATGAGCTGTGTTTTCTGCAGTGCATGTGAGCCAGTAAAGAAATACATTGACTTAGAATAAGAAAACATTAAAAAGATATTTTAACTAGGGGAGACGGGGGCTTTAGCAGCATAGTATTGACTTCAACCAATATTATGCTGCTAAAGCAGACGGCTAGGAATTATTTCCATTTTGAGATTCTCTCGAGATCAGCAGCTTTCAATCTCTTTAATCATTTATCAATCAGGTAACCATCCCTGCACAACAGTCTCCGTGCTCAAGGATTTATTGGATTGGAAGTTCAATACGATCATTTTTCAATATTGAACTTGTTATATAAATAACGTCAGCAACGGGCATGCCACAGTCTTAAAGTCATGGTGATTTGACGTAACGTTTTTTTGAATTCATGCATCAAGTACATTATAGTTAATTTGATCAATCTGACAGCTTCCAGATGAAAAACTGTCAATGACTTAGTGACTATATTTCTTCTACTGTCAGTGAAGTTCAGTCAGAAATATGATTAATATCTGAATGCTATATTCCTGTAAATACTCTTAGTGATTCATGGTCCCTTTATTTATGTGTTCCTACCTTTGATGAAGAGTAAAGACGTTCACCTTGTCCTCGATAAATGAGGCTCTTGTGTTGACCGTTGCTTCGGCTGCTGTTCCATGCTGCTGTTGTGATTGATGACTTATCCACATGCTCTGTCAGGTTAGTTGGTCAGAATTCAATGTGAAAGGTGACCTTCAAAGAGACATGATGCAAGTGTAGCACCCCTTCCCCCCCCCCAACCCCATGCTTACACACCCGACGACATGTGTCTGCTGCGCCTCATATTTTGCGTCTCCTGGAGCAGGAGCACCATGCATATTAATGAAATGTAGTCATGTCACCAGAGGGCACTACTGTGCTTTATTTTTGATCATCACTGCTTTCAGAGTAGATGACAGAGTAGTGACATGTTAAACCTAAAACCAGCTTTGAGAGGAAATCTGAGTTGGCAAGTTTGCTTAAGTATGAACACTGTACAATTTTAGGAGGTTGATATGATTAGATTGCCCTTATGATCCTTTCTACTGTGTGGTTCAGGTATTTCCTGTGTACCGTTATTAATGCTAAGTGGTGATCAGATGACAAGCAAATCTTTAGAAAATGAAATATTACACATTAAGATCTAAAAAAAAGAGTGTAATTGGTGTTCTACCTGAACAAATGCACGTGTATTTAACAGAATATCACTCATTTGATTTCCCAAATGAGTCGATTATTTGCTCATGAGGCACTTCAGTTCAAGCCGTCCTCCAGTTGCTCTAAGTTGCTACTATCGAATTGCCTTGTATAGTAGCACATCTCAGGCCCCAAATACCTAAATGAATGAGAGAATGAGACCTAAATAACCGGCATCCACACACTGTTGCCACTAGTGAATGCTGGCAGCTGTAGTATTGGTCCTCCAGGCTCTAAGGAGTGACTTCTTGCTGGTTTTCCATCCTCCACAGGCTCCCTGTAAATTCTCCTCTTCCTCCTCTTCCTCCCTGCTCTCCTCTCCCCCATCCCTCTCTTTCTCCACACTGGACTCCACACAGACCTTTTCCTCCTCCTGCCTCTTACTTGGCCTGGAAAACTAGACCTGCCCCCTCACACACTCTGCTGATCTGTCTCACCTCCTTAGCCATGTGGTTACTCAATCTATTTTACTGTGTGTGTATGTGTGGTTTTGTCTGTCTTTCTCACGCTCTTTGGTCTTTTTCTCCTCTGCCTGTCGTTATTCTCCCTCCTCTATACCTTCTGTCTGCTGTGGGACCTCGGCACCCTGTCTCTCTCTTAGTGGGGCAGTGTCAGGGGGTCAGAAGGGGGCAGCAACTGGGCATGGGGATGATGGGGGGGGTCCTTATCGCAGTGACAGCGTGAAGAGCATGGTGACAGAGGGAGTGAAGGCCGGGAGGTGGCAGACCGTCCAGGGCCACATGCAGTCCGGAGGATTGAGACCCAGCGAGTGAGTTCAGAACCGGGTAGAAAAAAAAAAGCAAACATTTCACTGTGCAGCAGAATTAACACATTATAACAATGCAAATGATATCCGTACAAGTTTTTACCTCCTCCTCCTCCGCAGCAGCAGCTGTGGTCAGATGAATGAATCGGTTCTGAGTAGACACAAGGAGAGTTAGGTCAAGTTCAGCAGGGAGGAAAGTGCAGCTCAGGTGTCACAGTGAGCATGTTGGCACAGATCAAAGTGTGAGCACACGGGAAATGTGAACTCTCGTCATCACCAGAAGATAACAATAGTCGCCCGAGCTGTATCACACTGACTCAAACCTTCAGCTGACACAGTCGGCCCAGCTGCACAATATAGCCCCGTGTATGAATCTGCAGGAGGATATGATTTATTTATGTGAGGAACTGCACTGCCTGCAAGTGTACTTTAAAAAAATGCTATGCAGAAATAGTCTCACTTTCACACTCTGACTGAGATGATGCCTCACACCTTCCCAACCCACCTTTTAATTAAGATCTAGGCTGGAATGTGAAATGATGTTTATCACTGACTGCATGTATCCCACAGCCATGACGTATGACACAAGTTAGGGTCTATATTCAGCGTGTTGTAAATGAGGCACTTAATTTTCAGTTCTTCATGATTTCTTTGCACCTTCCTTTGGCACCTCGTGCCTGTGATGCTTCCTCCACAACACATTTACGCTCGTCACTACCTCACTCCTCATTCCCTCCTTCTCTTCTCTCCTCTTCTCATCTTTCTTTTTGCCCCCTGTCTATAATTGGATTCTATTTTCAGGCTGCTATAAGTGTCTGTGTCTCTTGTGTTTGTGTCTCGCACCCCACTTTCTGCCTTTCCTCCATCCTCACCCTCTGCTCTTATCGTTCCCATCGCGCTCTCCATCTTTCTGTTGCTGTGTAATGCAACTCCTTTTCTTCTTCTTTTTCTTCTGTTTTGCCCATACACTGTTTTATTTCTGCAAAACCTTCCATTACCTTTTTTATCCCTTTTATTGTGATTGTCGGATATGATGGACACTAAAAGCCTCATTCATGCAGAATTATGTCAGGTAAAGTTATGCGGAGCGGAGTAAACTGCACCTAACTGATGTGAATAGCTCTCTCATGACCTAATTCTGGTAGTCTGGTTTACACAATGATCTGAGAGAGAGGAGGATGTATTTGGTGAGTAGAGGAAAATATAAAAAGGATGATACAGGATACCGTAGAGCCCACAAAACACAGGAACGATGTTTAAGTAAGTGTTGGCATCTAAATATCATGTAAATTATAACATTTGTAAGAAAGGCATGAGCTAATTAAACAGCATTTTTGAAGGGGAGGAGTGGAAAATGAGAGGCTAACAGAGGGAGGGAGTTATACTGTAGGACTTGGTTGGCTGTTGGGATGTCTCTAGAGGTGCAGCATATATTCAAAAGACCAAAAAGACTTAGTCAGGAAGAGAGGCTATCAGAGATGGAAAAAGTTGACTGACGAGTCGAGGACATGGGGATCTCTTATCAGACCAAAAAACCCTCGTCAAGAACGCCTGGAACCTGCAAAACTACAACCCACACGCCTCGACGCAGTCACGTGGCACAGAATCGCACCACGCCCGTGCGGACGGTGCACATCCGACCACTGCCCACGCGAAACACGCCCTCACGCAAACAGCACGCTCAGACTGCACAGACCCGCAAGGTGCACACACATCTGACGCAGACGCACAGGGCGAGCTCACCGTTTGCACACTGCTGCCCGACGCGGCGCTATGAGCAGTACACGGCTCACAGCGACCACTCAGGCTGCACCTTCTACTGCTATTTCTGCTACTGCTGTTACTGCTGCTGCCTCACGTTGCTCTCTTTCTCTCTCCTCCTCCTCCTCTCTCCACCTCCCAATGCTCCTCCCTCTGCCTCCTTCCCCACTTTGTCATCACACATCACTCTTCCTCCTGCTTCCTCCTCCTCCCCCTCTCGATCATCAACTTCCTGTTTGGATGAACTTTCCCGTATCTATCCGGGCGTCAACCTGACTTCCTCCGCTGTGTCTCCCTACTGCCCTGTGCCACCTTGTCTCATCTATGATGATTCTTTCCCTCTCTTCTACGTCTCATCTCCTGACCTCACCACTCCTGACCAATTCACCTCCTGTTGCCACGGCTCCTCTCCGACTTCTCCTTCTTCTTCTTCCGTGCCCTCTGACTACATCCTCCCTCCTCATCATCCTATCCTATGCCGGCCGTGGCCTTCTTCGCGCTCTCTTTCCTCCCTGCTCCTCTGCCCTCCCAGCTTTGGGGAACCAGTCTTATCGTATACGTCCACTTTGGAGCACATCCCCTCCCGGCCTCGGACGCTGCTGCGCCAGCAGAGTCTTCAGCAGCCTCTCATCCACCCACCAGGCCCCATTCTCGGCCATCCCCCCACCACATCCCAAAGTTTGGGACAATTACACACTGCACCTGGACAGCCTGGGGGAGGCGGGGGTGCTGGGAGAGGAGAGGGAGGTGGCGGCAGTGGTGAGGGTGGGGGTGCAGGTACACGAGGCGGTCCCAGGGGTGTACGGGGCAGCCCATCAGGAGCAGGGGCCTCTCGCAATAGGGGAGGTGGAGCAGCAGGGCGCTCTCGTGCCAATCCTGGCAGCTGGGATTACACGATGGACCAGATGCGAAGTCGCGGCCTGGACGTCAAGTCCTTCCTGTGAGTTTCTTCAACTCTTCCTTCATATTTTGATGGAGTCTTTGTAGTGTCACCTGCTTCAGGCCTCTGTCTTTATCCGTATCTTACAGTACATGCTATGTTATGCTAAGCAGAGTTATTTTAAGTATTTGTTTAAGGTGATGCTTTGCAATGCTTAATGTCTTAGAATCAAATTGTTATTAGTATTTTTAATAGTGTATCTATGTTTAAGTACTAACTAATCTGCTTTTACCTTTTACCTTTGTGTTCTGTGCCTCTTGTTTCTGTTGTCTATTTTCAGTTTGCATCTGATATCCAGGGAAGGATATTACTTCTGTCTTTCAAAATATGTACTGTGTGATTGTGTGCATACATGCATAAATGTGTATTGTGTGGGTGTGTGTTTTTGTGGTTCACGGCTGTACAAGATAGTGTGTTTGGAGCAAGTTCTCATAGCTTTCACTACTGCCAGAAAGATATTCTATATACAGCTACAAAATGCAATTTAGTCCATGTTGTTTATTAATGTAGGATGATGAAGTTGATTGCAGATGAGGAGGCCAGAGGATGGCTTATATGAAAACTCGATTATAAATGTAAATAAGGGAAGAGTTATGGATGTAAATAAGCTGTTGTCTTTTAGCTCTAAGCCCTGTGGTTGTGTAAGAGATGACTCAACATGTCATTTAATCAAGACGTCATAGATAGATATTAACAATTATACATTATGGTTGTTAGATTTTAATCTTAGAGGGGGAGTACATGGTAACTTGTTATATTGTATGATCCTTTCAAATCTCAGCTCAAACTGATTGTTTAATGAGTTATTACCTTGTAAACAATAGTTTTGGTCATATGAAGTGATGTATCAGTGATCAGTTACATTTAATTGCAAAGCTTCTTATTGAGCAATCTCTTAAAAAAAATAAATGCATTCCCCCTAATTTTAGAATGAAATAACATCATGTTTAGAAAAAATTGCAAGAAAAGGTTGCGACATATTGTGGGCTTTTTCTGTCCCATTCTGTAAAAAAGTGTTCAGTGTTTACACTGTACATTCTGATAAACAGTAACATCTGTTTGCATGGCATTCAGCCTGTCTGCTGCAATTGTTTCTGCAGGACAGAGCTGGTGGTGCTTGTTCATAATATTCATGAGATGGTGTCATAAAAAGTCATATTTTGTATTCAAGCCGCCCTACTCAATTACATGATGTTATTTCGGAGCCATCACTTGAAATGATGGCTCCGATGGCCATAACTTGAAGTGAATATCCTGCTTAGGGAACACACCAGTAGGCCTTATTCATATTTCATGAGTATTTGCAACTAAACTCTTTTTCTGGTACCACTGTAACTTTTATGCTAATAGGGTTGTGCAGTTAGCCTGCTGACATGTGCTTCAGCATGTGTACATCACACCGTCCACATGTCACTGTGCATCAGTAAAAGAACAAGGGTTAAGCAGCTGTGTTTTGTGTTAACCCTGAAGCATTGATCTTATGTCACCAGCGCCATTACTTCTACAACATATTGTTACTTCAGGCCAGAAGTGGAGGGAGAGCAGATGAGGGAGAGCGGGGGTGATGAAGGTATGACGTAGGACACTGCCAGAGTAAAACATGCGTTTAATGTCCCTTTGCACTGATTTCCATTTTACAGTAGCTTCTCACAATTTTTTTTATTTTTATTTTTTTATTTGTGTAAAAGCTTCTCCGGGCATTTGATTATGACACAGCTGAGCTAATGTCAACGGCTTGCGGAGCATTAGCAATGTAGCAAACGCGCCACAACCAAGGTCATTGATAATATCGCCCATAATACTCAACTTATCTAGTCAACTCATCATTGTAAACATGAGATTGAGGTCATATATGGTGATGTATTTCCTTCTTTGCAACAGCAACACCTCATATGATTGATGACAGAGCGGTCTAGTAATAGACGTGACCCACTGTTCAAGCCAGTTAATTTCAATCTTGGCCAGATTCCCTATCTGGGTGAATCATTGCTCAATGAATGTGTTGATGTGGTTGACACAGATATCTAGCCTTTGGAGCTATTTGACCAAATGGATATCTTGGGCGAATGGTCGCCCTGCTTTTTGGCATAAAATCAATAACTTATCCTAATGTAATTAATGTCTGCTCCCTCTCTCGCTTCCTTAATGTTCGGTGCATTAATTTAAATTTTTTACCAATATTCTTGAGTGTAAATGCTCATACTTGAAAGGTGATGAGAAGAAGGATCCAATAACCATTTAACCAATAACCTGTACTTATAGTAACAATACAAGCACCATGCCATTGGATATATTATTGAGGGTGCCCCGATCCGGATTATTGGGTTCCGCTACGGATCACAGGGTCTATTTGAAGCGTTGTATTTAAGTTTGACATATTTATTTATTTAACTGTTCTTAAAAACAAAGTATATAAAGTATGAAAATTAATTGATGAAAAATTATCGGTAGCACTTTATAATAACTACACACTATGAAGCATTACTTAAGTATGAGTAAACACTTAATTCATCATTTATAAAGCATTGTTCTTACATTAATAATTCATTAGTATGCAGTTCATAACAGTTGTAAATGTTTTATTCTTCATTAATAAGCCCGTCTATTATGTGCTTCATTATTGTGTTTTCATACTTTATAAATGATGGATTCCCCATTTGTAAATGAAGTATTATATATTTTACAAACCAATTATTAAGGAGTTGTAGATGATTAATAAGATCATTTATAGTGTTAGTAAATGATTAATAACTTATTTAGATGTACATTATTCATGCATTTATATATATATAATGGTTAGGGACTATGTTAATATATGCTTTATAAATGCATATTAATACTGCAATTCATGATTAATTCATGATTTATTAAGGTAGTTACTACTCATTGACAAATGTTTATTTATTTGTAGGCAACATGTGCAACATGTTAAGCCTAAGCCATTTTAGATAAAATGTCTAACATTTTTGTGTCGTCTGATCGGCCTTTATAGAGACCACCGATAAAAATATTCAGAACCATTTTGAGCCTGCATTTGCCGGAGTAAATGTGGAAATATTATTGAGTAGATTAAGGAATTAATATGATAAAAACAATTCAAATATTGAGTCAGCTGTAACGCATGAAGTCCGTGTGTGATAGTAAGCAAGTGAGCAGACAAGTTGAAACATGAATTGAGTTGAAACATAGAAGACATGTCAGTAAAAACAATCAGCCTAAAGTAATGGATAAACGTTCAGATTGTTTGCTAAAAGTGATGCATAAACGTTAGAGATAGACGATATAGATAAAATCACTTTCAATGGAAACATTTATGACGTGTGGTGGTGAAGAGGTATTTAAGTTAAGCTGAAAGCAGTTGTGGGTTTCTTGTGGGTGTTCGACATAAAAGGCTGGGAACCACTGTTATAGACGTATAACAGGGAAATGATTAAACATGGCTTTATGGGGCTGCAAGAAATGCTTTTGACAGCATGTAAGAAAGATGAAATTGTGAAGTTCAGGGTGATATCTTTCCACAGCTTGGCAGCACTGTATTTTCTTAGCTGAGGTATTGTAACGCAGTCAGAGGCTTAAGCTATAGAACTGTGGGTGTGGGTGACAGGAAGTAGGGAAGGAGGCAGAGAATTAAGAGCCGGGGATAGCGATGAGGGGGAAAGGGGATTTGGAGAGCAAGTGTGACATAATGGAGAAGATGAAATGAGAAGAGAGCAACACGGAGAGCGAGAGAGCAGTGACCCAGAAAACGGTGACATACACCGAGCACCTCAAGATACTGTGTCACTCAAATAGAAACAATTAGTCCAGATCTTCTTAATGAGGCTTAATTAAATCTTAACTCTGGAGAAAGACGACATTCATGTTCGATGGGAAAGGTGAGTCTGGAGGGAAAGCAGAAGGCGGGTTAAATAACTAAATAAATTACTGTGAGTGTGGGTGGTGTGTGTGTGCATACAGGCCTGTACATACTTCTTACATGTGTGGAAGCTGATGTGCAAGCTGCTGAATATCACATCCATTAACAATCATTAACTAATCACCAACAGCTCCCTTAATTTAGTTGTTGTCTGTACGATGTGAACACAGAGTGCACCTGTTGTCAGCACCACTTCATTAAAATCATTACGTTATTATTAATTTGGCCTTTCAGTTTAAAAGGTTTCTTTTAAATATCCTTCCCTGGACAAAGTGCTTACTGCTGGGGTGTTGCATTTTTCACATTAATGACCATTTTCTCTGTAACTGCTTCCTCTGTTTAATGTCATAAGGTCTCTTATTGTCCCGCCTCTCATGCTTTCTGTCCTCGCTGTCACTTAAAATGACCTCTCTTTTCTTCTCTCCCCCTGCACCACACCTTCTTTATGTCCGATTTCCCTATCCTTTGCATCTGTTCTCTTTTCTGGCCTCTCGTTCTTTCTCTGTATCTATCTCTTTATCGTATTTATTTTATGGGGAGCCAGTGAGGGGAAGCTGGTGGTCCTGGCTCTGGCCATTGGCGTGGCTGAGCAAGATGACTTTGCCAATATCCCTGACCTGCAGGAAACAGCGCAGGCATCCCCACCAGCCAATCAGGAGCCCCCTCCTGAGAAGAGGTACCAGATAACGTACGAGAGTGCTTGTTGTGTGTGTGAGCGAATGATGGGGTGCAAATGAAAGTATGTGAAGGATATGATATCAAAGAAAAAGAAGAGATTATTTCAGAATATTTGTAGAGGAGAGTAGTTTTGTTTTGTAGTGTTTTTGGTGAGTCACTGCACTTAAGTGCATTGTGCCACAGACCTGCACCTGAAATAGCCCCAGAGCTCAACACTCTGTTACAGAAATAAAAACGAGAGCTGACTATGAAACCAAATGTAGAAAAAATGCCTGAAATGCTGAGATGAGTAAAGAGATTTGGATGTTAGCTGAAAAGCAGCAATGAGCTCATAAATCAGGCCAGTGAGATTCTCACTGGTACTCCAGTCCTTTTTTCTGCTTTTAGGGGTGGAAATTTCAGCGAATCACATAAAACCAACATTTTCTCATGCCAGTGGTCTTTTTTTTTTTTTTTCCTGACCGTGATAATTATCTCCCCCATTGCAATGACATTCTCCTCCACCACTTCATCTCTATTCGTTTGTCTCTTCACTCGTGCCTTACAGAGACCTCCCATTGGTAATTGTTGTATTTCCTTTGTATTTTCATGCTTTCATCCTTTTTTCCCTCCTGCTCATTAGCTTCCTTCAATCACCCTCTGCTGCTCTGAGAGTCCCATCTCTGTAGCTCCACCGAGGGCCCAGAGAGCCTCCTCATTATTCCACAACATGTTAGTCACTTACATAAACACGCTGCTAAAAATAAACCTTTTCCTTGCCAGCTACCTTACACTAGAAGCCAAGATATTTCCACTCATCTTTAAGGATGCACCACTCTCACTAGCATCTCCCAAAATAATTAGTTTAGCATTCTGTTTAGGATTTCGTCCAACTTTTTTGTGGAACAGTTTAAGACTAACAAATGAGTACAGTGGCTGTGTCATGTAATTCAAACAGCTGAAACCGCACTGTGCTTGTGTTGTTCCCTTTACGGCCGTGGATGGTGGTTGTGATTATTCGCACCAGCGTGTAGCACCATAGTGTCAGAGTGAAACCCTGCGTTTGGTTCCAGGCCTAGGCAGATGCGAAACACTCGATTTCCTCAGCAGTCCAATTAGGTCGTTTTAACCTCACTTTGATTCTGTGACAAATTGGAGACAATTTGGAGATACATAATATGACACACACCTTAAAACAAAATGACAGGGCAGGGTGAACAAATTCTGATTTACTCGTCACACCAATTATTCCTCATTCACAAGTGTTCCATCAATTTGACACATGATTTTAAACTAGGGCTCTATTACAATACAGATGGTAACTGTTTTCCTCTGTAGACTGCACAGCTGCAATATGAAGCTGCACATGTGGGCCGTGCAACTGGAGACAGCTGTAGGGTCTCCTGCGTCTTTAGCATGACAGGGATTGTCCTCCCGGAACTAATAAGCACATTTTATTTATCATAAAACGTTAGCCTTTGGCGCTACACTACATTGACAACGAGATATTTGCCTCTTGGTTTGTCTGCTTCATGTTAGTCTCTTGCCCTGAAGCATCCTGTGGCCTTTTCCTCGTCAACACAGCGCTGCATGGAGTTACAAACAAGCATGAACATATTCTTTCAGGAACAATGTCGCTTTTGTGAACATCGAAAACATTTCCGTTGTTCAGGATTAGTGTGAAACCCGTAGAGCCACAGAGGAGTACAATTTTCTGTGTAATTTGCTGTGCACATTACATCTGGCTCTCCCAGCTTTTGCCTTCACCCGGAAACCTGGTTGTGAAATCCACTAATAGACAAAACAGCAAAACAGGAACCGTGAGCCTTTCAGTCCAGCTCGTGGCTCGCAGGACCCACCATGATTTAACAGTGATTTACTGCTTTGTGGTGTTTTCTACATTAACCTGAGGTTCATCTAATTTATTTAAGTCCAAACAGAATGACTGGAAGCGTACAGTCTGTGAACAATGGAGAACTAGGAAGTAAAAATATTTAAATATGATACAAGCTCCTGTGTAGCCCTCTCCTTACCTGTGAACTAATTCCACTTGAGCCACTCATTGTTTTATTTCTTTCATGATTGATTAGAAATTCAAATGTATAGTAAATGATTTAGATACACTTTAATTGGATGCTAAATTTAGAGGCTCGGATAGATGTTATAAGCCTACAGTATATTAGAAATGCAAGGTGTAAGCTTGCTGGGAGTGTATCATTCCCTGTGGTGTTAGTGCTGACTTCACTGATGTCTGACCATGATTTAATCAATCACGCTCGTGGCATATTGCTCATTTTAAACGGGACTCTCAAGCCGGAGACAAAGCTGCGCTTTCATTCGTCTCCCGCTCTCCACAGCCCTTGTGTAGCCATATCATCGAGTCTGTGCATTTACATCAAAACATGTCCTTTGTGTGCCCATCACTCATCGCCATACCTGCATCAATCCATCCAATTAAATGAATAATCTCAACAACATGTGACAAATTATTTCAGCCAAACATAAAGCCTCTGAAGTTCATGTGAATAGTTCATGTGACTCTCAAACGTAAGCATCATCAATGCAACATAAAAGGGAAACTCTCCACTGTTGATGAATATCAAAGAGCTGCTCTGCACAGCTGATACGTGGTGCCCTACATTAGTGGAACAACAACCAGCGGTGGAAATGACTATTTAACAGCTATAGTTAATAGTTGATGTACAGATTCAGATTTGACTTAATAACACATGGATTCATTTGTTCAAAATAATGCCTCGTTAAAGATTAAACCGTAAAATGCTGCTAACACATTGATGCATCAGTATTCACAATCTAATAATGTCAGAAGAGATATTTCTGCAAGATGATTACTTCTATTTGATACTTAATGTTAGTTTAGCTCACAATACCTATGAATGTTAAGTTGGAGTTTGAATGCAGCGCTTTTACTTATAATGGAGTCGTTTTACGTCGTATTATTACTATTCCTCGAGTAAAATATCTAAGTGCTTCTTGCACTTCTGGAAACAATAATGCTCCTGTAGTCTTTGCACTACAATCAGCCAAATAATCTTGTTAATTTAAACATCATGGATGTAAAGTGCTTCAGGCACAAATAACAATAGAGGGGCCTTTCGTTTAACCTTCAGCCATGTGTTAACGCGTCATTGTTGCTTGGCCGTAGACATAGGCGAGCCGAACAAACACACTGCTATCCCCAGGAGCTGACTGACAGCTTGAACTGCAGTTGCTGGTGGTGACCAAGACTTTAAAACCAAGGTAACACAGTTTCAGGGGAGAGAGAGGGAGGGGAGGTTGCACAATGAAATAGCAGAGAAACTCAGTTGGATTACAACGATCGTGTGTTGCTTAGATTCTGTGGCCACACGTGCTGAGATGTTTATATCCTAGGCGTCCGTAGATTGTGGATCTTAGAAAGCTTAATTAGGTTGTTCATTGTCAGTAATGCCTCATTGGTCTTCACTTAAACGATTCTGCTGCGGTTCAGCGAACCTTGTGTACACCGTAGGTTCTCCTCCAGTGTTGCTATACGAGAAGCCTCAATCCCTGAGAGCTTTGAATCTAGATCTCTTTCTGAGCAGCCAGCGAAAGGCCCAATGAGGATGGAGGTTTAGGACAGGAGAGGCGGGATATATCCTCATGCCACATTAACATTCAATCCACTTGCCTGTGGTCTTTCAATTATTCATCCATTCATGTTACATAATTTTGTGTAAGCCAGTGGAGTTGCAGATTTGGATAAATATAGATGTATACTCTGCCTCAAAGATGTGATGCACTCAGGGATGCACTTTTAGTGGCTGTTAATTGCCAAGTGGGCTTGGGCTATATAATAGTGCTTTATAATTTATGATCTTAGTCGACTCCTTAACCTGACATGAAAGGCAAAGACGAGCGTGGTTTATGGGAGTTATGACTTTTAACCTAAATTAATACAAATGCGTGTTTATGTAACGTCATGATTGTGGGTTTGTGCTCTAACTGCATTAGTCTGACTTGGAGGAGTTTAGTCTTTATTGTGGTGGTGGAGGATGTGTTTAGGTCATTCTGAGGTCACATACATGTGCAGGGCAACATTTTAAGGCGGTCATTTCGGGCCTTGTTGTTACAATGCTTCCAGATGATATAATCTGTTTGTACATAAACATGTAAATTGATTATGCTATGCTCTGCTAGTCTGCTCCTCTTGTGACAGGGGCTTTACAGGCCTGGCTAATCAGCCAAGTCTTCAGGGGCTCTGCCTAAGACTGTCCCTGAGGCTTTGGGCCCCTGTGGCCACCATGCTCATCCAAACAACACAGGGAAAGTGATGAGATGCAGGCGGGGGAAAGTAGATAGCACTAAGGCTGAAGAAAAGGAGTCGCTAAGAGTAGGTTAGTGCAGTCGCACATCCATCCATCCTTCCATATGTCAGGGGAGGATGAGGGAATATTTCCAGGGTGCAAATCCATCTTCCCTATGAGAGAGTACTTTATTGCACTCTGCACATCCATGCGTTATGCGGGGCTGAAGGCAGCACTCTAGCCAGCAGGTACATGCTGGTACACATGCTCATCTCATACATACAGATCAGATGATGGCTATTCGGAGCATTAACCGAGGACTTTTGTGTCCTGCCTCAGAACAGGTGGCACATCTGCAGCAGCCTCCACCTCAGAGGCAATCTTTGAATCCAATCGGGTGCAAAACATTTGATCGACTCTTGAGACTTTAAAAAAACGTTTTGATGATTTCATGTTGCGGAAATTACCCAGAATAAGAGGTTAGCTGTTTTAATTAAGCTCGGAAACATCATGAATGCTAAATTGCAGAGAGTCTTGGGAGGCCATAAAGGGAGGTGGGGCTCAACATTTATAGATAGAGTAGACACTAAGCTTGTCTTTGGATTCAAAAGTAATCATGCGTAACTGTATCAGGCAAAAGGGCAATTGCCGGCCACCAAATTTAAGAGTCGCACATTTGGAATACGGCCTCTAATAAAATAAAAATAGACATAAAACAGTGCTCGTACAGACCAACGTTTGGCACCCGCTGAAATGCCTTCTGGTTTTAATATTCCTGTTTAAGAAGCAGAGACACAGAAGGCAAACATTTAGCACCTCCCGTGTTGCTTCTTCCTGAAATGGGATTTCAGTAAACGATGCTATTTTAGACCAATTTACAGTTCCAACATGCAGGAAGTAATTAGGTAACAGTGAACGCATCCATATTTATATGTCGCAGCAGAATCTTTGGCCGTAGCCTGAGAAGTGAAGCAGCAGGAATGACTGACTCTAGTGTGAATGTACATGTGTTTCATGTGGATGATGAGTTATGTAAGCAGCGCCATGCTTCACTGCTGTGGCTTTGACTATGTACGATCCTGGAAAGTATGCTGCGGCCTCTGAAGAATGATAGATCTAGTGGGCGACTATGAAATTGAGCATAGGCTTTGAAAATGCATCACTTCATGGTCTCAGGCGAGCGTGTTTGTTTGACTGTGACATGTTTGCAGAAGGGTGAAAAAAAAAAAAAAAAGAGGGCTGGGTTGGGCTTTCTTTCTCGCGTCTCTCTCCAGCCTAGAAGTGGAGTCTTTCCCCCCTCCCCCTCTCTTCGAGCTGCTGGCCCTCGGTCAGGTAACAAAACAGGATAGTATCACAGGACGGTGAAACCCAAAGTGGCCCCGCCGGCCTCCATATGTCTGTCCATGTGTGTGTCTGCGAGGTTCTCACCCGTACCTGTCATATATCCTATACCTTATCTTCTTTGTTCTCAGTGTGTTTGCCTGTTTGCTGTACCCCTCTAAACACACCCTTTCCCTGCGTCCACTCCCAACTACGTCTTGTCACGCACACCCCAAACCCTCAAATGCATGGTCTCTGTTTCTAGAGCCGTTGCTATGCCAACAGCCCAATTTCTGGTCCTTAGCTGTGGGAGAATCTGATCTAAACTCGAGTCCACTCTGCCTCCCACTGGATACTGTAGATAACTGCAGGCTCTAAAGCGTCAACTTCCATTATCAACCCCCAAGGGGTGGGACAGAAAAAGCATTGGCACCAAAATGTTGCAGTTGTAGTTTTACCATCTGCCACAATTAATATTCCTTTTAATAGAAATGAAATAAACTGAAACCAACCTTCATGATATACTGTTTGATCTGGAGGAAGTATATTATTTTTTGCAAAAAAAATCCGCAGCTCCAGCTGCTTTGTTTAAACGGCCCGGAGGCAGCGCTGGAGCGGACGTCCACCTCAAGTGTTGTAGAGCAGGGCTGGTAGAAAGGCCATTCCCCTGGATGCACTAGCTCTTACCTGAGAATGCACTGAACCCCTGAATGAAGCATGAAGGAGAATGAATAATTGAAGACGTTCACTCCCCTATCGATAGTTGGGAGGTGGAGGAGGAGGGAGGTGCCTTGCTTTACTTCAAACCCGAAGTCTCTCTCCATGCTTTATAGAGCTCTTTTGAGCTGATCCCCAGACCTTGGTTAAGCGTTGTACCCAGCCTTTTCCTTGCCTCTCAAACTCATTGCCTGCAGTTTAGAGTTTGTGCAAAGACAAAACAGTCTCCTGAAAATGCAATTACCTCCCTTGGCAACTAATACGACTAACGCCAATTGATGAATATTCCCTTCCCTTCTCGAAATGGTTAACATCCCTCCTTCCCCCCCCCGTCTCGCTCTGGTTCCTTTGCTGGTTGAAGTGATTGTCTGTTTGCTTGTCTTGTTTGCTTGCTTTTTCTGTCTGTCTATTTGTCAG